GTGTAATGCTTGGATCGCACATCCTCAGATGAGGGCCAGTCACAGAAGTAACTCCTCCCTAAGCCTCTCTCCCCAGGTCCCCTGGTGCCTCCAAGGTCCTCAGAGAAGGAGGCTTCCAGCTTCTCTCCCTGGCCTAACCTCATTCCCCTCTACCACCTTCCCTGGGGGGCTTTCTCAAGTGAACCCTTTAGCCTTTCTCTGAGCAGAAGGTTTCCACCCAGAGTGTCAGCCTCAGCTTCTTTCCAGAGGTCTGGGATATTTTTTTTTACCAATATTATTACATTTTGCTGTTTTCAAAATAGTACGTGTCAATGGCATACATTTTTGAAAGTATAAACAAGCACAAGAAAGGAAAGAATTAACTGTTTGTAATCCAGCACCCTGTCATAATTGCCGCCAATTCTGGTGCCTTCCTTGAATCTCCCCTCTTAACACACAGGCATGAATAAGTTTTAATTTTAAAAATGTGATCACACTATTCTTCTCCCACTTGTTCTCCTCAGCCCACGGTTTATCGTGATCACATTTCTCTTATTAACCACTCTTCCACAATATTATAAGCAGCTGTATAGCATTCTGTTGTGTGGATGTACCACAGTTTACGTAAGCAGTTTTGTTTTGTGAAACCTCTAGATTGACTCCTATTTTTGTGTTGTCTGCCATGATTCTTTCCTTAGGATGAATTCCAAAAAAAGTAATTACTGGGTTTAAGGATTTGTGCTTTTAAAGACTTTTAACGCATTTTTATCAAACTGCCTTCCAAAAAAAATCCTCTCTAGAACTGTATGAAAGTACCTATTTTTTCTGCAGCCCTTAAAAATGCAGTGTTTTAATAGTTTCTGGAGGAGTCAAGCTTATTTGGTAATTAAAAGTTTTAACTTTTTGTTTTAATTTGAAGCTCCCTGATTTCTAGAGAGATTGTGGCAGAGAGGGAGACAGAATCCCAAGCAGGCTCTGTGCCATCAGCACAGAGTCCGATGCAGGGCTTGAACTCACGAATGTGGGATCATGACCTGAGCTGAAGTCAAAAGTTAGATGCTTAGCCGACGGATACACCCAGGTGCCCTTTATTTTCTTTTTAAAAATTTTATTTGAGAGAGAGAGAGAGAGAGAGAGAGAGAATCCCAAGCAGACTTCAAACTCAGTGAAGAGTCTGATGTGGGGCTCGATTCCACAACCCTGGGATCATGACCTGAGCTGAAATCAGCCATTGGACACCCAATTGACTGAGCCACCCACGCACCCCTTGTGTTTTTTTTCATGTGAATTGACTAGAAGATCCTTTGTCCAATGCTAAATGGAAGATGTTTGCCTTTCTCTTACAGGTTTATAAGAGCTCTCTGCATATTAAGGATATTCACTTTTGTCCATATATGTTAGACATGTACTTCTCAGCTTATCATTTGCCTTTCTATTTTACTTATGATATTTATTAACTGGAACTGCACTACTCTCTGCTTGCCTGACATCTTTTTTTAGATGACTCAATGATATTTCAAATTTCACAAATCCAAATGGAAACTCATTATCCCCCCCATCCCACCTGCTCTTCCTGCTGACTTGCTTATTCCTGTTAATGTCGCCACCATTTTGCTAGTCACCCAGACTTGAAATGTTGAAGCCATCTTGGGTTCCAACGTTTCTCTTTCCCCCATATCTCATCAGCTACCAACTCCTGTGGATTCTATTTCTGCAATTTCTCTGGCAGGCAGGCCCTCTAATACAACAGTGTTCAGGTTATCATTATTTCTTGACTGGACTTTGAAAATGGCCTCACAATATCATATGCCTCCCCAATCCCCAGACCCTTGATGTGACATTTCTCCTCCTTGCCCCACCTGTACACTGCCACCACATTAATCTTCCTAAAGTAGAGCTCAAACATAGAACTCTCTGGTTACACACCACCAACAGCTCCCCATTGTCTTGTATTTAATTACAATCTCTTAGTCTGGCCTTAATTTCCTTTCAATGGAATCTCCCACTATTTTGGCCAAGTTGCTCCTCAAACAAGCATGCTGCTTTCCCACCCCTTTACATTTTTGTTCAAGCTATCCCCTTCTCTCAGAATTCCCTCCCACCAGCTCCACCTACCAAAATCCATTCAGAAAGCACTCCACCTACCCCACTGCCTATCCCAAGCGCTTCTGATTTTTAAAATGGAAGTGAATTCTCTCCTTTGAAACCCCTACGACAATTTGCTCAAGCTTCCCTTATAAAGCAAATCCTATTCTATCATCTAGTGGAGCCCTCAAAGGTCTTATATTCCTACCAGAAATCAGAGACCTTTGAGGGCACTCTTCTTATATGTCTGTTCTTCCACAGGACCTGCACAGTGCCTTGCTGCAGTCAATGCTCAGTAGGTATTTATGGAATGAAAAGCAACATCCCCAGGTAGCTGAATGCCTAGGGATTATGGGCCACTGCTGTTTCCCACCCCACTCCCAGCCTCCTGGGACAGGGTACACCTATCAGCTATGGGCAGAGTGCCAAGTCCCCTCTGCCAGAGGCTGAGCTAGGCTGACAGTCTTTGGGACCAAGGACTGGGCCACAGTCACCTCTTTATCCTCATGATCTGTAGTTATTGAGGTGAAAGGCCATCAGATCCACTCATTCCTTTGCTTCATGAATGCAACGCATGGTGCGTGGTAGAATGTAAATTGGCAGCTGGGAAAAGAAATCTCACAGACCTCATGGAAAAGGGAAACTTCAAATCAGAGTTGAATGGCAGCTAAGGGGTGCCGGAGGCTCCTGGGACCCTGACCATGCATGCTGCCTGGACCAGCTAGGACTTTTTCTCTCTTTAATATATTTAAATAGAGTCAAGATTGGGGTCAGCTTCAAGCACAGCGCCTTCTTTAGCTTTAGAGGTGACTCTGCAGCCAGCACGGGAGTATGCAATTGACACAGTCTATTTTTAGCCTCCCAGAGACCGTGACCAACATCCCAAGCTGAGGGTGGGCACACCTGCTGCATTCTAATGAAGCAGCCCCGATTGCCTCTGCCAGCCAGCCGGGATCTCGCCGACCTCAAATCTGATGTTGCTAAACTGGGAAGTCTGCTTATTTCCCAAAGGCTGTAGCCTAGATACACCAGGAAAATGGGACCATTACACTCCCCTGAGCTCACTGTCTTCCAGCCCAGGGCACAGGGCAGTCTTGGGGCTGTATGAACAGCATAATGAAGAGATGGAATCCCTTGGGTTTCTTGATCTTGCTCTGTCCTAGGGTCTCCCTATTTCCCTTGATGGGAAGAAGATTAGTAAGTCTGAGCTGATTCAGCTCACAAATGAGAAAATTGAGGCACAAAGCAGGGAAGTGTTTATGTAATCTGAATAATAATTATAATGGTAACAATAATAATAATAACAACAACAATAGAGCTTACTATTGCAAGGCAGTGTTCTAATGCTTCATGTACATGAACTCACCCAAACTTCTTGACCACTCTCTCAGATGGGTTTTGTCATGATCTCTATTTTATGGAGGAGGAGACTGAGGCCCAGTGATGACAAATGACTTCTAAAGGTCATTTGTCAGCCACCAAACAGCAGGGCTGTGTTTCAAAGCCAGGCAGTGAGGCCCCAGGATTTACCGTGACACCTGCCTCTCAATATCTATTTTTAATTTTACTAGAGGCAGGATTGGGATCCAGGAGTCCCAGAAGACCAACTACTGGATAGTACTCCTTCTCTATTTTTAATATTTATTTATTTTTAAATTAAATAAAGTTATTTTATTTTTGAGAGAGATGGCAGTGGGGGGGGGGAGGGGCAGAGAGAGGGAGACACAGAATCCCAAGAAGCTAACAGCTGCTAACAGCATGGAGTCTGATATGGGGCTCGAACCCAAGACACTGTGAGATCATGACCTGAGCCGAAATCAAGAGTCGGACGTTCAACCGACTGAGCCACCCAGGTACCCCACTATTTTTTAAACTTCTGTCCTGCTTTGAAACCTTTGCTGTGCTGCTCACACACCTGGATTCCTACACTCCAGGGAGAGAAGTTTCTTCTCCTGGGATGACTACCCTTCTGCAGTCAAGCTGAAATTTTGGGCCCCAAAGCTCCCTGAACTTCTTCTCTTTCTCCCCTTAGCCTATAGAGGAAGAGGGCCTGGCTGGTGATTGGCAGCTGCAGTGGGGTATAGAGCCAGGCTACATGGTGGGGCTGGGAACCCAGAAAGAACAGTGATTGGTTGTGTGCAGGCAGGAGGCCACCATCAGTGTGGGTATTCAAGCTCAGAGTAAACTTCTGCCAAAGTTCAGAATAAAGTTTACAGAAGCCAGGAGGGAAGACGAGAGGTGTGAGACCCCAGAACCTAAGATACCTGCTTCTGTTGGTGGGGAGGGAGGGCAAGTGCTGCCTGCTGGGGGAGAAGCCCAGAGACTCATCTAAGCATGCAGGTGGGACTCAGTTTAACAAACACCTATTATGTGCTAAGCCTTTTTATAAGCCCTTCACAAATACAACTATTTAATCCTCAGGATGACTCTAGGAGATGGGGATCACTTTATTCCCCTTTGAGAGATGGGGAAACCAAGCCACTGAGAGGTTAATAATTTTGCCTAAGATTGCATAGCTCAGAAGTGGCAGAGCTGGATTCAAGTTTCAGCAGACTGGCTCTGGAATCTACACTGCAGCCACCGTGCTATGTGATGCTATACATCTTGCCCTTTAGTGAGTGTTCGCTATTTGCCTATTGTTGTCCTCATTTAGCACATATGAAAACTAAGATCTGGGTCGGCTCAGGTCGCCTGACTATTAAGAGATGGGATTAAGTTAAATGGATGTCTTTTTTGGCTCCTCAGTAGCATGGCGCCTCTCCATAAATCATGGCCCTCAGTGGGACTTCCAGAAGGGTCCATTCGTCCCTTAGGAGTGGCTGCTGTGGCAGACTGGAACCCCTGGGCTCAGGGAGGGGAGGCAAGCAGGGGTGACATCTCAGAGGGCAAGAGCTGGTCTCCACTGCTGACGCCAGACCCTTTATTTTCCCCCTCAGGTGAGCAGTGCCCCCCCGCAGCCCCCTCAGCCCGTCGCCCCACCCAAGCCTGTGCAATGTGTCCATCATGTCTCCACGCAACCCAGCTGCCCAGGACGGGGCAAGATGTCCAAGCTGCTGAACCCAGAGGAGATGACCTCGAGAGATTATTACTTCGACTCCTACGCTCACTTTGGGATCCACGAGGTAAACCGTGAGGAGCTGGTGGCAGAACAGGGCAGCTCAGCCCTGCTGTTTCTTCACTGTCCTCTGAGGCAGCCTAATGTGTTCATCTGTCTACTGTCTTAAAGTGGGTTTTCCTAGTGGCTCAAGGCCTCTGGCCCTCCTTCCCTCCTGTGAGCCTCTCTGGGAGAGGGTCAGAGCCAGGCCCAGAGCAGGTGAGTAGCTGAAAGCATGTGTCTGTGTGTTTCTCAGCCAGAGAGCAAGGGGTGCTTAGGGTTTCTTTGTTTTATGGTCCAGCGCCTGTGTCTCTTCTTGACCCTAAGTTCAGGTGATCCAGGCGGACCGATGTCCTTGTTCTAAGTCCTGGCTCTGCAGGAGATGCTCTGCAGCTCGAGTCCTAGATGCTGAGAGGACCTCCCGGAGGCCATGACATCAGTCTTTAGGCAGGCATGAACATGAACCCTTAGGCCCTAGACCAATGAGCACCCCCAGGGGAAGAAATGCAGGAAGCTTCCTTGAAGACCTGGCCCAGGTCTGTCACCCTGATTGATTCTCAGGAAATTCTTGTGTCTAAATGCTTGCCTTATACCACAGCAAGGAAGATTTATATTAGCTGTAGAACAGAGCAGAGCTTCCTAACCAGAAAATTCCTGGCTGGGGTTGGGCCCCTGCCCCCATCACCTCCAGCATTTTCCTAAGCCAGTCAGGTTGCAGAGTGCTTACTCATTAACTGGGTGTTTATTCAGTGCCAGGCATTGTTCTAAGCACATCATACATATCATTTCATTTAGTGCTCCTAAGAACCCTATGAAGAAAATATTTCTATTATCCCCTTACTGTATGAAGAAATAGTGAAAAAGGAACGAAGCCTTGCTTGCTTTGTAAATGCATTTTCAAATAAGTCTCAACGTTTCTGTTTCAATCAGATGCTTCTGTAAGCCCTCCCTATATCAAAATGTCACTGCCAGACGAGTGTTTAAAAATAATAGCCAGCACTTTTTCCTTTTTTTTTTTTTTTTTTTTGAGTGCTTACAACATGCTGGGTGTTGTTCTCAGATTTTACATTATTGGCTCATTTATTCCTCAGGTCAGCCCTATGAAGTTGGTATTATTATTTGCCCCCAAATTATTTGTAATTATTTGTTTTTTTAATAAGCAAAATCTTTATTATTTAGTATTTACCCCTTTTGTTTATGTTTTAACATCATATATTCCTTTAAAAAAAAAAGCACATTGTTCTATATGCCACCCAGCCATCTACTTATAGAAGTAATACAAGTTCATTATAATGAACTTGAGGAATACAAGAAGATTATTAGTCCCCAGTTTATACATGAGGATGTAAGACCTTAAGAATCCAGATCAACTTACATTCCTCACTTCCTTTGCTTACAAGGTCACAAGCTAATAAATGGGAGAGCTAGAAATGAAACCTTCACATTTGGGGCCCAGGGACTTCATTCAGAACTTCCATGCCATATAGACTTTAAAACAGGTCTTTCGTTCTTCCTGGAAATTTTGATTTTTTTCCTGCTGGTTCCTTTGCAATTCCATGTGGAGATAGAGAGTGAGGGAAGTGTTCCTCCATGAATTCTAGACTCAGGGACCTGGCCCATTCACCCGAGAGAGACTCAGGGTTTGGTCTCCCAGGAACTGCTGTCCACATAAAAGTGTTAGGCCTGGGGCCTGCAGGGGAGGAAGACTGGGTCCTGTGTGTGTTCTGGGAGTCCTGGCCCAGAAAGGCCTGGGCCAGCTAAGCCTGCCATTCTTGGTGGCTAAGATGTCATCTTTGGGCAGATAAGTGAGCTGCTGTACCTTCCCTGATCCTGTTCCCCATGCTGGTGGGGATTGGAGTGAGGTGGTGCACTGAGCCCTGTCCTAGGCCTGTGAGAAGTTTTGGGAGCAGAAAGGAGGCATCTTCAAGAGTTCACCCTGTCCCTAATTCATGTGACAAATTCTAACAGGCGTGTGGCTCTGGGTACCTATTTCAAGGCAGATCCCTAGGAAGAGATGCTAGTTCCCCAAAATGCCTCCCCTTGGGCTTGCCTGGAACCACCCCCCCCCCTCCCCCCCGCCATGAGAAACCAGCTAATTATGACATGTACCTGGTGCCTGTCCTTCCCCATCTTCAGGAGCCATTCCTCCAATGGAGCCTCCTGTGACTGACGTCTGGGACACCTCCATCTGAATGGGTGCATTCTTGCTGGGCCACAACTTTGGCTCCTAGGATGTGCTCTCCTGTGCTATGATTAATCTCTGTAATTCCTTCAAGAATTGCTTCCCCTGCCTCTAACCCAGGGCTTGATGCACTGTCTGATTTTGCTAATCTGATCACTCAGGTGATGTCTGGTTAGCACATCAATGGGCATACCAGAAAGTATGATCTCCAGCAGGAGAAGACACCAAGGGTCATCAAATAAATACTATACCAGCTTTCCTCAATTTCATGTATTGATAGAAAAACCTAGTACATGAAACATTGGTAGAAAATTAGTACATGAACATATATAAGCATTGTCCAGAATGAGCTAATAAACATGGAGTAAATGACCTTCAGGTCATATATAACATTTCTTTCCTTAGTAACCTGACCTGGAATAGTTTTAGCAATACTTTGCATCTGGAAGTACTTCTGATGCTTAGCTCAACTGACACTACTAGATTAAATCCCTCCTACTGCTGCCGTAGGCCATCTCTAGATCTGGGTTCTGGGGAAATGCAGAGGTCTTCAGTGTCAGGGTGGCTACCTAGGCTTCCTTCAACCTTGAGGCTTCCCTCCACCCTATTTGGTCTCCAAGATCATCTGGTATAAAAAAAAAAGTAGGGGGGCATGTGGACGGACTCTTAACATTGTTCTTTGCAGAGACAGGGCCTGCTTGTTTCTCATTATCAAGCACCAGGGATCTCCGTTCTGTGCCAGACAGCTCGCGGTGATGCCTTTGCCTCCTCAGTCTGGACAAGACCCATACCTCACCATCCGGAGCCGAGCTGGCCGTTTGGCAGTCTTCTCCCATCATTAACAAGATGCTCACAGGGGCGGGCAGCAGCACCGCCAGCTTGCTGATTAATAGTGATCAGTGAGTGTTTAGGAAACATGGTGTGGGATGGATTGGGTTTGATTAGTCTGTGAATACGAACAAGAGGTGTCAAGTTTGGGAGAGGGCACTGCTTGGGGCTGGAGAACACAGCAAGAGGTGATTCTGGATACTTCTATACTTCCATTCCATGGCCCCATCCAGCGATGACTCTGTACTCAGCCTCCAGAAGGAAGACTGTGACATTCTGTCACAGGGCGTCTATGAGAGGAATGGAATCTTGAACAGGAGAGGAAGTGACAAATGTGTGCCTACTGAGGCTTCTGTTCAGAGGGGAGGGGGCCAGGACCATGACCTCCCAAATCTCAGCTCTGAATTCCCAGCATCTTTGACAGTTGGTCCTGGGCTTGGTTTCTCAGCATCCAGAAGACTCCCTGCCAGTGGGGCTGTGTTCCCAGCCCCCAGCTCTGGATGCCCATCCCATTCCTGGCCAGCTCTCTTCTTTTGACAATCTTGCTGCAGGTTCTTTTGAAATAGATTCTTCAGGGCCTCATTTCCCAGCAATTAGTCAATGTGCTGTCATGTGTTTAATAGGCAGGGAAACGGGGAGACAAAGGCATCCACAGCTGGGGGCTGGGAATTGTTTTCAACAAAGAGTGACATGCTCTTGTCTGAAATGTCTGGAGACTTCTTTGGGCTATTCTCTCCTAGGGATGATTAAAGCAGGGGTGGAGAAAGGGGAGAGAGTTTCCCTTTTGATGGGTCAATCAGGGGAAGCCTTGCTAAGTCACAACTCTTCTCCCAGGACTTGTACCTTTGGACCTAACTCCTGTGGTCTGGAGCCTTAGAGGGAAGAAGGGGTCCAAGAAGTGATGGAAGGCATTGAATCAAAGGTGGGATGCTGGGAACCTCTTCTTTAGCAACAACAGAATCTGCTGAAGTACTGGACCAATCTAATTCCAGCAGGGCAAGCACTAAGGACTTCCAGCTATGGCCATGATGACAAACCTCCAAAAACTTTGCCATTATTTTGCTTCCATTCCTCAACTACTGCTCACCCTCAACTGTTTCCTTGCATGGATAAAAATGGTGACAGCTGTCACAAACAGCCAGAACTAACACTTTTGTAACACTTACTACATTTATTTAATCATCACAACAACCCAATGAAGTAGGTACTGTTATCATTCCACCTTCAGCAGGGGAGATTGAGACAGGCTAAATGATGTTCTGGGTTAGGGAGGTCAAAAGCATGGGATCTATGAGTTGAAGAAATAGATGTGAATCAATTTCTAAGACTGATAAAAACAACAACGAACCAGCAACCCTCTGTATTGATTTTCCCAAGCAATAAAACCACATATGGAACAGCTACTGCAATTGGAATCTCCAGCTGATGATGTTTATGATAATCTACAGTCACTCTCCAAGATCTGCCTCTGTCTTCTGCACAGGCAAACAGGTCACTTAATTGGGGATGTGGGTCTCCTGGAATTGGTGTCCTGAACTAATGGGTCTCATGGAATTAATGTCAGTTCAGATCCAGGGTCCAATGATCCTCCAAAGTTTGTTTATTTTCCTTTCTCCAATGCAGTCACACTGTACTGTGGTAATGGCTGCAGATCCTCTTGGTGAAGACTTGAAGAAAGATTAACAATATCCATTTTTGGCAATGTAACAAGGGTTTTCTTCATGGAACGTGGCCTTTCCTTCATTCAAGGGGTTCTGGTTCTGTTAACTGGATCAAGTCTGGGAATCAATTGAGGGGCATGACTCTAGATTTTGGCAATTCAAAACAGACCTCTGTTCACTGGACCTATAATTTTTCTGCTTACACAGATCAAGTAAGAATTCAGTATGCTTCCCATTTATTTATTTTCTAGAGACACTATGATCTCTTTTCTAGAGACCTATGGCCAACACCACATATCTCTGAAATCAGACTGTTACGCTTTGTCTCCAAGCCCTTTGCTGTAACCACACCCACCT